CTCCTCCACGTGGTGCCACTGGGAACTGCCCGCTTCTGCGGGCTGAGCCGAACGCGGACACTCGAAAGCAGGTGACAGGCCTTCGTGACGGGCCGGCCTACGAACACCCAAGTCACATCACCAATGTTCAACAAACCACAACGTCACAACATGAATTCCGAATCAATGCTACGGCGTCCGCGGGAGCCGACGCGCACTCGCATGGCCCGGCGAGTGTGGAAAGTATGCGAGGGTCCCTGATGCAAGGACGGCATCGGGGGCAACCAGGCTAGTCCAGAAGTCCTGTAACGTTGAAAAGATCCGCGTAGCAACGTTGAATGTTGGGACGTTGACGGGGCGCTCATGTGAGCTGGCAGAGGCACTGGAGCGCAGACGTATAGACCTGTGTGCTGTGCAGGAAACGAGATGGTCCAGCTGCAAATCAAGGGACATTGGTCGAGGCTTCAAAGCCCTTCTATGTGGCAAACCAAAAACCACCAACGGAGTGGCTGTAATAGTCTCTCAACGTTTCCGGGACTCGATAGCAAGCGTAGAACGCTTCGATGACCGCCTGATGAAGATCGTTATTGCTATCGAACAGCGGCTGTACCACTTCTTTTCTGCCTATGCTCCACAAACGGGATGCTCCGAGCGATCCAAGGACGAGTTCTGGTCCCTGCTTGAGGAGAAGACAGCTGAGATACCGTCAGAAGACGTCGTAATTGTTGCCGGTGACCTAAATGGGCACGTAGGTGCTACGAAAGACGGGCTACAGGTGTCATGGTGGTTTCGGTTATGGATCACGTAACGCTGATGGGGAGCGAATCCTTGAGTATGCGGAAGCCCATAACCTAGTCATCGCGAATACAAGGTTTCGTAAGCGTGATTCCCACCTGATCAGCTTCTACAGTGGAGGTTCCAGAACGCAGATCGACTTCGTTCTTGTTAGACACCGCGACCAAGGGCTCATCACGGATGCGAAGACTGTGCCGTACGAGACAGTTGCCACGCAACATCGCCCACTAATTTGCACGCTAAAGATCGCAACGCCCAGGTCCAAACGGGTCGAGCGATGTGGTCCCGAGGATCAAATGGTGGCGTTTGAAAGAAAAGGAGGCAGCTGTGATCTCTCGTATTCGACTTCCCACCGTCACGACTGTCGATGAGACCTGGAAAAGTGCTGCTAAGGCGATACATGAGGCCGCTCGTTCCGAACTTGGCATCACGAAGCCTGGAAGGCGTAGAATTGATAAGCAGCCGTGGTTATGGACCGACAATGTCAAAGAAACGGTTCGCGAGAAGAAGAAGAGATACCACGCGTTTCTTGCCGACAAGTCAGCTAGTAGCTGGCGTAAGTACAAAGAAGCGAAGAATGCAGCGAAGAAGGCTGTGGCTGCAGCGAAGGCCGCCCACTTCAAAGATGTCAGTAAGGAACTAGATTCACGTGATGGAGAGCGGCACCTCTACCGACTTGCCAAGGCTCGGCATCGTCAGACCGAAGATATCGAGAAATTCCCTGGCGTCAACGACGAGCATGGCCGTCTTTTGATGGACCGAAAGAGGGTGCTGAGGCGATGGCACGACTTCTTTGAGAATATTTCAACCGTAGAGTATGCGCACCCGGCCATCCCTTTCGTCCCCCAGTATACGGTCCCGTTCAGAAAGTAACCGTAGAAGAGACGGAGGCGGCTCTCAGAAAGATGAAGTCAGGCAAAGCAACAGGACCTGACGACGTGGCAGCCGACTTGTGGAAGGCACGGTGCTGGTACCCTGCACAATGGTTGACGGATTTCTTCAATCAGGTCGTTGCTGAGAAGAAGACGCCCAAGGACTGGCAAGAGAGCACGACGATTCCGATTTGGAAGAAGAAGGGCAGCCCTGCGGACTGCTCGACTACCGTCCAATTCGCCTGCTGTCACACAGCATGAAGATCTTCGAGCGAATTGTTGACAGTCGTATTCGCGAAATCGTCCAGCTTTCTATCAATCAGTGCGGCTTTGTGGCAGGCTGTAGCACCATCGACGCCATACATGCCGCGCGTCTTCTGCTGGAGAGACATCGTGAGAAGCAAGTACCACTGCATCTAGCTTTTCTGGACCTAGAAAAGGCATTCGACCGTGTTCCGCGTGAAGTTATATGGTACGCCTTGCGGCAACACGGCGTTCCCGAAGAGCTTATTAGAGTGGGTGCGCATCCTGTACTCCAGCTCGAAGAGCCGCGTGCATACACCAATCAGGCACTTCACAGGAACTTCCCAATCTCGCAAGATATTCAGAAACCGAGTCCGTGGACCCTCCTCTACGCAGATGATGTGGTGCTGGCCAGTGAAGATAAGAAGCGAACCTCGAGCAGCAGGTGCAAGCTTGGTCTGATCGTGACAAAATTCGGACTGAAGTTGAACATCAAGAAACCGAGTACTTGACGACCGATACAAATGAGTCCGATTCCATTAAGATCAGTGGCATCGAGCTCACACGCACAAGAGCCTTCAAGTATCTTGGATCAGAAATTGTGTCCGATGGCAGTCTGACCTCAGAGGTGAACTCTCGTGTGAGTGCAGCATGGGCGAAATGGCGCTCGATGACTGGAGTTCTGTGCGACAAGACCATACCTGAGCACCTCAAATCGAAGATTTATAGAAATGTGGTCAGACCAGTAGCGTTGTACGGGGCTGAGTGCTGGCCTGCAACCAAAGAAGTCGAAGCCCGCCTTAGTGTGATGGAGATGAAAATGCTTCGCTGGACGGCCGGTGTCACCGTATGGATCGGATTTGCAACGATGACATACGCAAGAAATTCGGCGTAGCTTCCATAGTTGATAAAATGCGAGAATCTCGTCTCCGATGGTATGGCCACGTACTTCGCGCGAAGGCGGACACCGTCCGTAAGACTGCTCTCCAGCTTGAGGTGCTCGGCAAACGACCTAAAGGACGCCCAGGCAGCGCTGGCTTGACACGCTGCACGCGGATTTAAAGATAGTTGGTGCTCACCCTGATCAGGCATTCGACCGGGATAAATGGCGTAAGAAAATCAGGAGAGCGGACCCCGCTACAGAGCGGGACAAACGCTGAAGAATAAGAATAAGAAGGAGATGATGAAGACTGAAAGCAAATTTCAACATGAGGGTACTCGTCGACGGCCAGAAGGCCGCAAGATTTCTAGCAGCCACTGTTCATTGAGTGCGTCATTTCTCGGAGTTAGGTTAAAATCTTACAAGTAAATGGTTTCAGGACCCTAAATAAGTTCTGGACAATCAAAGTTAGCTGTGTCGGCAACTGAGCACTGCTGACCGGTAAGCTGCAGTATGCGGCCTAGTGGTGACTGTCTCACTCTAGAGGTACGAGCATGTGAGCTAGCTCCCCGTTGACGCGGAGGCTCTCGCTTTTTCCATATAAGAGCACTCATTCCGAAGTTTCATATTCCTCTGAGCATACGGCTCAGCATAGTTAAAAGGTAAAGTATCTAACGTGACAGATCAATTATAGAGTATTAGTATAGAGTATCTGTGTATCCCTTGGGAGACTCACTATCCTCGACGATTTGGAGCTTGGGCCACGATCTCAACTTGGCCTGAAATATGTTCTCGTAGGTAGCTTGACTCTCCCAATGTGAACGCCGCGTCCGTCCGACGAGAGAACGCCTGAGATCTACAGGCGTTGACGTCAAGCCCTACAAAGCATGACGCTGAAATCTTCTCTCAGAATGGTAATTAATTTTCAGAGTCCAAATATTACGCTTGTTCAGCTCGAAATCGCTCGCCTTGAAGATATCTGCAGGAAGCACTTCTCGTGATGCTGTCGTCAGCACCTGTGGACCGTTGGTGAAAGTATTTGTACATCGAGCAACCTCTTTCCTCAACAAGTGCAGGAAGGGGCTACCAAAGTCAGAAGCGATGATCAACGAGTTTCATAGCGTTTGCTACAGCACAAAGTCATCATCTGAGCAAAACAACTGAAGTCGCACGGCTGTCGGTCGCGTGGATACAGACGACTGGATTAGGGTCTCCATTTTCTTTCCGTTGACGTTCTTATTCTTTCGAACCCGCCACTTGTGAATTTGGGCTGAGGGTACGAAACCAACCATATTTCTTTTACGACCAAGCGTCGCAAACTGAGATACAGCTGTTGCACACAATGATATATCCTCTAAGCTCGCACACTCCAGGCACGATTTCATCCACCCGTTTTTTTGCGCAAGATTAACAGTGGGAGCCCCTACCTCCACAATTTTTTTCCGTTTTGATACTTTTGAAAATTCATATCCATTCTGTTTTTAGTACACCATGCTGCGCAGCTATAAGCCAACTCATATCTAATTTGGGCAGCGCACTTTCCTTGTATGACGCTCGATTTAATAATCCAGCGTTGAATTGATCATGCAGGCCCCTGTCTACAGCAAATCTTCTATAGCCATGCTGGCCAAGATTGCGGGTACGTAGCTTGTATTAGCTTCCAACAATATGGATGTCGATGGTGACAGCCCATCTGCTTTCGCGTCACTCCATGCGTTTGAATGAGTTGATGATACTTCTACGAGCGTTTCTGTACGATATCATATAAGAAAGAGTGCGTGAAAACTCTCATGAGATTCAATCGGACAACCGCCTGACAGATTTTGGAAGCAGACCCAGGACTAGCGTCGAAAATTGCGGATGATTCGGGTTCTATTGCAGATGGCCACTCCTATCTGTGTTACCTCTCCAGTTAGCTTAGTCTCATATTTCGTGTGAGCTTTTTCAAACGTTACAGGAAAAGCGCTGCAAGTACGAATTCCATTAAGAGCGCCCGTAGAGCTCTACGTACAAATGGTCTGTTGCCCAGCAGAGCTGGTTTATACTACATTCTTTTAGGCAATATGAGCTAGACTTCTTAACTTGTTACACTAGCATTTCTCTTTCTTTCATTTTTTTTGGTCACCGCCATTATAGAAGATGATTTATGGGCACAGTGATGCGACAACCGAGTAAGACCATTGATTATTTCTAACGACAAGCAAACGAAAGGGTTTGAAGAATAAAGGCAGTTACCTGTACACATGGTGATGGGGGCTAGCAGTGGGTAGTCGCTCATTAGGAACTATTCGCTTCAACTGTTGAGCGCCAGCATGTTCGAATGCCTCTCGACTGGCTTCTTGAATACGTTGGAATCCTTTGCGCAATGTGCTGCTATCTGCAGGCATCATGGATGCCGCTTCAGAATCTGAAAGGGCGAGTGTTGAAAACTACTGATTTCATAGGGAACAGCATTACACTCGTACACAGATAGGGAAGTAGAAAACTACTGCACTCGTAGACCTTTTCTCACTAAAGGGAAGCGATAGCAGGACATAGAGGTATATTTCAGAACTGTTTTTGCATTATGTTTGAGGAGCATGGACTGTATGAAGAAGGGCCAATGCTCCTGCTCAGTCCTGATAATGCCAAAAAAAGCAACGAAAAGAATTTGGCAGAATAAGGAAATTGGTGCTGTTGCACTGATTATCAATTGTAGGTATGATAGCTCACTCTCCAAAAAGTGTCCGCTCATTGTACATAGAGAACAGTGCAAACACAATAGTAAAAAACTGGCAACAAATTAGTCGTCCAAGGAACGTAGAAAGAACATCGGTGGGTTCTCTTACAAGGGAGGTCGTTCAGGGCGTGGTGAGCTTTTTCAAAATGGTCTTGTGCATATTGTAGGGGCACATACGAGGACCAGAAAACTGAGGTTCATTTTCGCTGCGCGCTTCTACGAATAAAAAAAACGTAAAAAATAGGTCGATGGTTCGGATCCCACCGAGGACAAAATTTTGCTTTTCTACAATTTTTCATTTTTTGGATCCATGTTTGTCTAAATAATTGGTCCTAACAAAAACATTCACGATAAACTGAACAATCCTACTTTTATGGAGCAAAACTGCTTTTTCGTTCGAATTCGTTAGTATGCACAGACTCAGCTCTTCGGCGCTATGCCGGTGCCAGATGGCACTGGAACCGAAAATAAAGTCTAGAATCGTGATCAGGACTGTCGATTACCCCTAGGAGCAAGTTTTGAGCGAAAAATTTTTTTTGACTTTTTCGGGTTGTAGGTGACCGACCATTTGGTCGGCAGTGTGAGCGGAGTCTCACATCTTCGTAACAGCGATGACGTATCGTTGACGCTAGGGCACCGAAACAGCCGACCCCAAACTAAGCCAAACCAAGACACAAGGTTCAAAACAATTGTTTGACGCGAAATTTCGTTGTATGTGTGTAATCAGGTGGCCCTCTGATCACAAAGTCATAAATCTATTCTTTGCGTCAACCAATATGCCCGACAGATAGGCGGGGCCCGATGTGAACGTTCGCCTTATTGATGCGAGCGGAGTAGCTACATAACGGCAAATTCATGGAAGATGATGTGGCCCCAAATGTCTATAATTGACACCACATCAGAAAGTACTAAATTCGCAATCATATCCACTGTCTGGCCTATGAGGATCAATGTCCAGCAACAATCTTGTTCAGTGCGGTGCGCCTGAAGAATCGAAATAGTTGGAATGCACTGCACTCCATGACGCCGTAGAGCCCCGCTACTCAGAATGTGCCCCATAAATGGCAAATATGTCGGTGATATTCGCTATGCGCGGACACTATGGAGCCGGGGCGAGGCTAACAACGCAGAGATCTGGTGAAAAGCAATATAAGCCGGGCCGCGGGCGTCGTAGCGGCGGTAACCTGGAGCCGAAGCCATCAACCACCTTCACTGCCCACCAGGTGGGGAGGGAGAGACGCGTGGGTCACTCGAGGGGTCAGCGGGTAGGGGGCCGAGGTCGGGGGGGGCGAGTGGCGGTCTGAGCTGGGGCTGGCGGGGTGGCGTGGTGGCTGCTGATGGCGGGGGATGAAGGCCAGCTGCGCGAGAGGAGAGCGCGTTCGAGGCCGCCGGCTGAGCGCGATCCAGACCAGTTTGAAAGCTCACTTGCGCGGACCGATCAAATAGCCCCTTTATAAGGACCCCCACTCAGCAACTGGTCAAAGTTGCAAGTGACCTACGCCGTATAGAGGCCCAGAAGCGAAGCAGATTCCAAAGATTTCTTTTCACTCGTTTTTACCTTTCCTGGAAGCGCGCAGCGAAAATGAAGCACACTTTCAGGTCCTTGCATGAGCCCCTACAATATGCAAAAAACCGTTTTCGAAAAGCTCACCACGCCTGAACGACCTCCCTTGTTAGGGCTACCCATGCAGCCTGAAGCAGAAGATGCTCACGCAAGAACTGTACGTATAAGAGCGGTCTTAGGGCTACCCTTGCAGCCTGAGACAGAAGATGCTTACCGCATGCGCTGTAAGAGCGGTCATGTGAATTTTTGTGAGAACACTCAGATAAGCGTCGTCAAACTTCCAAAGATTACCTGTATTAATCCATGAAGCCGGGAATACTGGATCCGAACATGCATACCACAATTATGGATTCCAAATTGCTACCGAATCTTGAGCGCGATACGGAGCCGTCAGTTTGCCCTGAGAAGGCACTGGGGTTATAACAGCAGGGCTCACCCTCTTAAAGACACATAGTTGCCGCTCATTACACATATGAAGGTCGTATAAGGACTATCAGCCCCCCCTCAGCTGTCGATGTGTCGTGTGGTCCCCGCCCAAACATGCCCAGGAATGGAGATACAGGACCGTGAAACACGCTAATTCCTCCATGCTCCGCCTTACACCTTTTTGTGGAGCAGTTTCCCATGCTTCATAACATCCGTCGTAAGCGCGTGTCGCGCGCGGCTCCTTGGCACTTTGCCAAGTCCTTTAATTGCGCTTTCAAATATAAGTAAAACGCAACTTCCTGATGCGGATAACACTGGAGGTGCTGCAAAGTAAGAACAGAAGATGATGACGAGGGTCAGAACTTAAAAGCAACTGTTCCACTCCCAACACCCCTCGGAGGCCGCGTATTTCCACGAAACATGAAAATAAAACGGCATACTCGTTAGTTTGATACAAGCAAAACGCAATTTCCTGATGCGAATAAAATTTTAGGTGTTGCTCATGCTTCAAAATCCATGCACAAGGAGATGAAGATGACACAGGCTAGAAAGAAGCACAACGGTGTAAATGTAAATAAAACAAAAATGAAAAAATCAAGGAAAGGCAAATTAGTTAAAATCGCCTGTAAACTTCTACGATCCGGCGCGAATCCGGCGCCAAAGCCATAGAAGTACTCAAAACAAACGAGTGGAACGCTTAGGTTGTTTTTATTTTCATGTTTTGTGGGAATGCGCGCGTCCTCTGATGGATACTGCAAATGCAGCCGAGTTGCTCTTGAATTCTGGCCCTCGTCATCATCTTCTGTTCTTATTTTGTAGCACCTCCAATGTTATCCGCATCAGGAAATTGCGTTTTACTCGTATTTGAGAGCGCAATTAAAGGACTTGGCAAAGTGCCAAGGAGCCGCACGCGACACGCGCGCTTACGACGGATGTTATTAGCGATTATAATAGATAGGAATCATAATCACAATCATCATCATGCTTTCATTTCCAGCTATTACACCGCGAAGCATAATCGAGGCAGGGATAGCCGAGTGGTTAAGAGTGTAGACTCATAATAACTCTGAGCCACGAGTTCGATCCCTGCCGAGGCACAAACCTGCCTTGAATTGCAAAAATGGGACGATACCAGCGTCAGGCCCAGGTTGACAGGCCGGCTGATGGAGGAACCCGTCACAACAACCATGACAAGTCGCAATAGAATCAGTGTAAAAGCTAGGACGTCACCCGGAAGTGGCGCGCAGAACCCTCGCCCGAGTTCTGTGGTCAGTATGTGAGGGGAGGTTTCACATCGCCGTGAACGACCTCGGCCAAAGAAGTTAGTTCGAATTGGGACTGGGGTCGCTTACCGGGAAGTCTCGTGAGGTTGCCGACCTCATGAGACGCAGGAATATCCAAGTCCTATGCCTGCAGGAAACGCGATGGAAGGGTGCGAAGGCCCGCGAGATTGGAGAAGGTGTCAAACTCTTCTACAATGGAGCAGACACCAAACGGAATGGCGTGGCCATAGCGGTGGCAGAATCCCTCAAGGACTGCGTCTCCACTGTGAACAGGATCAGTGACCGGATCATGGGAGTGAGAATGGACACGAAGGAGGGGTACTGGACAGTACTGACCGTGTACGCACCACAATCCGGTTGCTCCGAGGCGGAAAAGGATGAGTTCTACCTGACCCTGGACGAGGCCATAAGATCGGTTCCGGAAGAGGACTATCTCACCATAGCTGGGGATCTGAATGGCCATGTTGGGAGGGACAGAAGGGGTCTAGAAAGGGTGCACGGAGGTCAAGGAATAGGGGCAAAGAACGCTGAGGGAGAACGGATCCTTGACCTAGCCACAGCCCACGACTTAGCAATCTGTAGCACCTTCTTCGCGAAAAGGAGGACTCAGAAGATAACCTACAGCAGTGGAGGGAGACAAACGGAAATCGACCATGTCCTGGTCAGAAGATCGTCTCTCAAAACCGTCAAGGTACTGCCTGGGGAAGAGCTGGGCCCTCAGCACAGGCCTCTCCTGGCAGACATCGCCATAGACCTCCCCAAGAAGACAAGGGTGAGAGCAGAGCGAAGAATTCGGTGGTGGAAAATGGGCAAGGTAGAAAAGGATAGCCTCGGCCGAAGAATACTGGAGGCTGGGCTCCCAGACCCACATGGGCCAGTCCAGGACACCTGGACCTACGCAGCAGAGGTCATCCTACAGTGTGCAAGGGAGGTCCTGGGAGAGACGCGAGGTGGTATCAGAGGAGACAAGGCAGCCTGGTTCTGGAACGAGGAAGTCCAGAGGATCGTCAAGCAGAAGAAGGAAGCATACAAACGCTGGCAAAAGACACGGAGCCCAGAAGACTACGCTGCCTACAAGAGCTGCAAGCGACTCGCCAAGGCAGCCGTTGCTAAGGCCAAGAATACGGAAATGGACGCCCTGTACGACAAGCTGGAAGGCCGAGAAGGGGACAAGTTCGTCTTCCGCCTGGCTAAAGCTCGGCATCGCGCTGCTCAGGACATCAGGGTCGTAAAGACTGTGAAGAGCAGCAACGGGGCCATTCTCAGGAAACCAGCCGAAGTCAGGAAGAGGTGGGAAGAATACTTCGAGGGACTTCTGAACGAAGAATTCCCTCGCAAGGATAGCCCACAGATAGAGGCGACGGCAGGTCCCATCACTCCCTGGACGAAGGATGAAGTCCGCCGGGAGCTAGGGA